GAAAGTGCATTCAGTGTATTCGTTGGAAGTCGAGAAGCTTCGAGTTGCTCATTGACTGAATCGTTGTCCCCTGACGAAAATATGCGAGCTTTTCTATGAGTAGGCATCTTGCGGCCAGGTGCAGGCCCGCGCCCTTGAGCGCCTGGGCAGAGCTTTGGGTGGGCCTTAAGGGGGAAGGAAGCCGCTTTGGGCGTGACAAACCTGAGTATTATTATTATTATTATTATTATTATTATTATTATTGGATCAAAGGAAGTTTAGAAGGAACTTTCGTAGCCCTGGAACTAGTTGAGCTAGAGCTCTCGAAGACTGCACGCTCTGCGCGTGATCTTTAAGACAAAATTTGAATAGTTGTAAAACGTGAGAACTGGGGAGTAGCAGCGAGCCGAACCCGTGGCCCTGTGCGTGAATTTGGCTCTGCCGCACGTGCGCACACCTGTACGGCGGCGGTCTCGGAGCTCGCAGACCCCTCTGCGGACTTTCGGGGGGTCAGCCTCGAACAACTCGGTGCCTTTTTCTCGGATTTCTTCACTTCCGTAGGCTGTGGAGAGAGGGACAGCGAGAGAGAGGGACAGCGAGAGAGAGAGAGAGAGACATAGAAAGCAAGAGAGGAAAGAAGAATAGAGAAAGAAAGAAGGGAAAGAGACAGAGGCAGAGAAAGAGAACTAAACAGGAAGATAATCATACAAACAAAGCGAAATATGAAGAGGACGAGAAAGAGAAAGGGAAAGAAGAGGATGGATAAGAAAAAGGTAGAACGACAAGAAGAAGAACAGAAACACGGAGATAAGCAAGCAGAGGAAGGGAAAGAAAAAAGAGCAAAGGAGAATAATAAGAAACAGAAGAAGAAGACTAATAATAATGATAATAATAATAATGATAATAATAATACATACTAATACTACTACGAATACCAATAATAATAATAACAATAATAATAATAATAACAATACTAATAACAATAATGATAATAATAGTAATAATAATAATATTAATAATAATAATAATAATAATAATAATAATAATAATAATAATAATAATAATAATAATAATAATAATAATAATAATAATAATAATAATAATAATAATAATAATAATAATAATTAATAATACTACTAATAATAATAATGATGATAATAAACATAAGACAAAGGATAAACGTAAAACAAATAAGAAGGATCATAATATAAATAATAATAATGATAGTAATAACAAGAAGACAGAGAGAGAGAGAGAGAGAGGGAGAGTCTGAGAGAGCGAGAAAGCGGAGAGAGAGAGAGAGAGAGAGAGAGAGAGAGCGAGCGCGAGAGAGAGAGAGAGGGAGCGAGAGAGAGAGAGAGGCTGGGAAAAGAAGCGGTTCTTGTATATGTTTGAAACTTCCGCCCCCCCGGCCGCTGGCTTTACTAGTACTCTTTGCCTCTATTGCGTACCGAGCTGTTCAAACGAATTTCAATCAAGCGATGTTGTTCCAGGAATTTTGCCGACTCCAGGAGTTGTCCCTGTAGATGAACCGGCTGGTTTAGCCCGGCAGGATTGTCCTTGCAACGTTTTCAGCGCACAAACCAAAGGCGCTGGACTGTCTTGGTTTGTGTGCTTGATGTCGTGAAACCGGGATTGACAGCCTTCGGAGGTGCTGGAAGCCGGGGGTCGCCGGCCATAGCCGACTCGCACGAGGCTGGGCCTTGCAGGCCCCATGCGCGCAGAGGTGGTGAAGCAGATTGGCTCAGATGCCGAGCCTTGGCATTGCTTAGAGCCAGACGAGCGCGGACACACCCTGTGTCCAACTTGGGGCTTAAACATGACTTCAGCCGCCTTTACGTAAAGTCTTTGCTTTTCCAGGAGAGCCGAGGATGGAAATGGACAAAGACCCACCTTGGTGATTAGGATGAACAGAGCCTTGTCCACTGCTCGATACAAAAGCATTCACGAGCTCGGCTTCAGGCATACTCAGGAAGTAGGAGTATAGCTGGCGCTGACATGTCAGCAGAATGCTTGCAGCAAGCAAAAGAAAGGCAAGTGGCATCTACTTCGCTTTTCAGCAATTCTTTGCTGTGAGGATTGGCTGATCCGTTTTGGCCTCAGCTTTGTAAGCTGCACGGGGAAGAGGGCTTGACGGGGAGGCAAAGCTGCTAGTGCGACTTATGGGGCAGCCTGTGATTGCAGAGCCTGCGGGTCATCAGACCGTTGACCATCCTCAATGCAGAGGGACATTACTATGCCATTGCCCACTTTGCCCGGCAACATATGAACTGTTTGCAGATGCATTGTTGACAGCATTCCTAGGCCACGGCATCATGGACTATTCGCTGCTTATTGCCATCCGGCGCCTGCCGCCTGAAGTTGCAAACACCTGCTGCGCAGGTCGGACATCAATGCTGGCATGATGCATGCTGCAGCTGTGTTGTCCTTGCTTGCCACCATCAGTTCTCTTGCACAGGCACCGAGCCGGTATCGCCAAGCACAACAAATGCGGGTGTAAGTGTGTGCCTCAGCGAGATCCTTTTGGCGGCCTCGGGATGAACACCGCACGCTGGGGTGAGTTCACCTTCATTCATTTTTGTGTTGAATTCCACCTCCTCCCCTGCCTTTTCCCTAGAAATTGATCAGGAAGATGGGCGATGTTGGACAAAGCCACGGGCGAGCTGCTGGCCGGATGCATTTTGCGATTGCGAATAACGACTGAGAATATTCGATGATATTCGGTTCTCAGGTTCAATGAGTATTGAGAGTGTTGTGTGTGTGTGTGTGTGTGTGTGTGTGTGTGTTGGTTCAACGTTTCAGGAAGTTCATACGCACTTGTCATGGCATCAATCGCGGAGCGACATGCATGTCACCAGCTGCATACTTGAGGGCCAGAACGTGTGAAGGTGATCCACATGGGCATCATTGATTTTCTTCAGCCGTGGACACTCTCCAAGATGGCAGCGATGTGCCCTCAACCGCAGTTGCAGCTAACTTTTTTGGGTTTGACTGGGAGGTATATCAAGTCCTGTGAGATCAACAAGGCTCAGCCAAAGCTGGAATGTACTTTGCACAAGAAGTCATGTTCAGTCTCAGATCTGCAACCCCGCGCCAGGCAACAGTGCCTCCTCCAACGTATGGAAAGAGGCCAGAGGACATCGGAGGGCATCTGAGGGCATCCGAGGGCATCCGAGGGCATCAGAGTCATGCTGACACTGCAGTTTGGCTTTGTCTTCCATCCATGGTCAGGGAGCCATGAAACAAAATGCTGGACCGGAGTGGGCCAGGTTTGCCAAGCACTTCGAGGCCGCAAAGGGAGCGAGCTTGATTTTGACCAGCTACGCATTCGGTGGGTCAGCACATGCCACAGGGATGCTTGCGAAAGTCTTGCGGTTTGAACTTGAACAAGTACATGCTCAGATGCATATGCCGTTTGCACCAACCACAGGACCTACATACCAGGTTACCAGTCCCGCTTGACACAGGCGAGTTGAACCCACGTATGGGCCTCTCTCAAGAAAATATTCTGTAGTTCTAGGGGTTGGTGCTGCTTTAGGTAGAGTGCTTGAAGAGCCAAACTGAATATCCCGGGCTTTTCATGTGTGTCAAGCACATCATTTTGGAGCAGTGCTGGTGCATTCGTCTTTGGCCTAAGACAATGTGGCAATCAAGCTGCCTATGCGCGATGTGCAATCTTAGTTGATCACAGTTGCCGCTGTGTTGCCGAACTGGGTAACCGCCTTCAGCGCCTAGCTGCAAGCTGCATAGAAGGCCATGCCATCATTCGGATTTTCTCGATATTGTCACGGGTCCTGAATCAACAAAGACAGCAGCATGTACAACTTACGGCATGCAGCGCAACTTAGAGATGTTTCAGGAGCGCCTGAAAGATGATGACAATCTCACATCGCAGCCCGAATCTGCAGCTCGGTAGCTTTCAGGGCTTGGACATTGCTGACACTGATCAGAGTCACGTTACCTGCTATCAATATGGCCAAAGAGAGCTGCTGCAACGATGGACCTAGATCAAATCAATGGAATGTCACACACGTGCACATGTGGGACGATGCAACGCATCATGTGGTGTTCGAGTTGCGTGCTGCATTTGAGGTGGCACTTGCTGCAGAGAAGTGGTGCTCAGCCAACGAGAGCGAGGACAGCCAGAGAGCTCAGACAATTAGTCGCGTGGTGCTAGATTGCATTTAGACTTGTGGTGGGCAGCTGAACTGCTGTCACCTGTTCTTCCAGAGATCTTAGCCCATTGACACATTTGCATCATTGTTGTGTGAGATTGCACAGCCAATCCCAGATAGCTCAGGTTTGCAATAACAACAGACCGCTCGACAAGGTTGCATGTGTTGTACGAGTGTCATTCAAGTTTCCCACCCGTGCAAGCTATGGGCATGAGCTTGCCAGCGATTTTGGCATATTGTAAAATGATCTTATCACAAGCTGAAGCTGGTGCAGTGCATTGCAGCTGTACAGTTGGGTATTGTGAATAGTATTCTTGTATTATGACATGATGAAGCACAATCTTTCATTTTCCTCGCAAAGGCAACACGCATTTTGCATCAGCAAGGTCTGGGAGACAGCTAGACGGCTGCAGTGAGTTGCAGCGCGTTTCCACGGACATCGTTGCCACACATGATTTATCGATCAATCATCCGTCTTGCTCTTTGACCTGGTATAGTACCTTTGAAAGATTTGCCGGATAAAAATGGCGTAGATCAGCCGCTTTTCCAAGAGCAGCTGGATGCGCTCGGAAGGGCATCCAGCACGCTTCGCTTATGAGGCGCCACTCCAGCAAGGGACTGGCGTCCTCCGCAAGAGTTGCGCCTTGTGCTCCGGCTCCCGGAGGGTTGTCCGCTTGCGAGAGCGGTGGCATGGTGCGTCAGGAAAAGGTTCTTGCAAGATCTCTTTGGGAATTTGCACTTGCATAGCTCCAAGTGAGAGCATTTTGGCGAAGACTTTGCTTGCGTTTCTAGCCAGAGAGGCAAGGCGATGTTTGCATGCCGCCTGTGCTCCTAAACATTTCTCTTAGTTCCGCCGTGACTGGCGGATGGTGCGGCGGCAGCTGAGGCGGGGTGAGAGACGGGTTTCTTGCAGTCGAGGGACATCTCTTCTATCTTTTGGAAATCCCAAATGCTGCCTCTTGCATATGCACCGCTGGCCATGGCAGGCTGGCAAACAGCCCTCAGCTTTGCTGTGCATCTTGGAACAAGAGAAGCAGCAAGAACTAAGTTCCAGAAAGAAAGAAGGGCTAGAAGCGGCGAAGCTTAGCCCTCAATGACGGTCTAAAAGCCGAGGCATCATGCGACTCAATGCAGCTCTTTGACTGCAAGTCCTCTATGAGCCATGCCAAAGGGCAAACCAAAGATGTTGGTGGCTTTGTCAAACTGGATGGTCCAAGGCGTTGTGGGCCTTGCTGGCCCTACATCAAGTTGGCGCCTAAGCAATGGCTGCAAATGCCTGATGTGGCCTGTGTGAAACTTTAGAGCCTCCGGCTCATTCCGCCGACTGCGGCCGGCGAGTTTCCGAGCGACCTGCGCGCTGTTGTGCTAAAGCCCAAAGGTGCAAGCCGTCTGTGTGAGACATCCAGTTGCGAGTACCGTATCTTGCAACCATTCTCTTGGACATGAGCAGCATGCGAGACGCCAGAGACGACCTAGCATACCTATTTTCGACCAATCAAGAGGGGGGATTCGAGCCCACCACCCTGACCCAGCGGCGCCAGAACAAACCAAGACCAAACCTACACCACCCACACAACCCCCCAAAGCCTGCACAAGACCGTCCCAAACCCACACGAATCCCACGCAAGACCCACACAAAGACGCATCCACGCAAAACCCAACCCACCAACCCACCACCCCCCCCGGGCAGCGCCTCTGACGCCCTTGCAGGGTAGGTGAAAATAAGCGAACGTCACAAACTCCACGCCCCCGCGCCCCGCCCCCAAACCCCCAGTTCCAACAAGCGAATGCAGCGAGTTGTGGCCAGGCCTATGCGGGGAAAATGACGGGCTTCAAGTCCGAGAACTCCTTAGAAGCAGGCAAGATCACGGTTCAGCTGAAAGCTGAGACTCAGCGAGAGATGGTGTTGACGGTGAGGTGTCATGCTTCTGGTCTTTGTCACATTAGTTTTGATCATATTAGCGAGTTTGTAACGCAAGATTGTCACTGAGCATGTCTTTGGATTTGGACAATGCTGTCCATGCGAGGAAAACTTTGTGAACCCCCAGACCGTGTTCGGGGAGCTGGCGGGCATCAAGTTGCTGGACCACAAGGGTGCCTGCATCAACTGCGTCGGTGGAGCAGATGCCTGGCTGAAGTGGCAACAAAACTGAGAAGCAAATGTCGGGAGTCAGCAGAGACATGGTAGCTATGGGGCCTGCGGCACCTAAGGTTTGCAAGTCACCCAACACTCCTGACTACCAGGCCGCGTGAGCGATCTGCACTGAGAGAAGCTGGGTTGTCCGAGATTACAGTTGGGTTGACGACCCATGTCGTCAGACAAAGTCTGAGTCCCATGTCTGGGACCTGCTGAGTGATGCGCTGTGTTGCCCGTTGCCCGGCACCGAAGGTGTCAGATGCACAGAAGGCCTGCAACACGAATCCTGTGCCTGGTGACAAGTGGAGCTTGCACCTAAGATGCTCTTTGCGCAGACTCATGCTGAACTTGGCTCACTCAAGTTTACTCAGCTTCAGCATTGCAGCTGGTAGCCGCAGCTTTGTCTCAAACTGCATTCGCTTGCGTTGGAGCTGAGGTTGGAAGGTGAACAAGTCATCACCCTACGACATCATGCTCGAGTATCCGCTTCTTGGAACTGCAAAGAACATTCCCCGCAACTGCCGCATCCAGGACCCTCAAAATAGCTGCTCCTGAAGAACACCCATTCGGTGAATCTGTTTTCCACTTTGGATTGGGGCTTTCCACTTCGCTTGCGTTAACGCATCATTCTCACCATCTGCGTCCTGGAGCTGTTGCTTTTCCTGAACCTCAAAATGACCAGGCGCAGAAGACACGGAGAACATTGATACCAATTTCTCGTGATAGGGAGCTCTGTCGTACACTACATGGTTTGGGTCATTCCCCTGCCTCACCCCCACCCCCACACCCCACCATTGTCACTGCAGTGCCCCAAACGAGCTTTTCTTGGTAACGGCTGATGCCAACCCTCACAACCAGTGCACTTTGTTTCCGGGTACCACAGCCTGTTCAACACGCCCGCGTGTTTCCTAAGGTTGGCCAGCTTGAACCATGAGCTGAAGTTGCAAGTCGAGATCATATCGGCCGTCGACAAGTCAGGCGAGAACCTGCAATTGTGGAGAGTCGCGCTTGGCTCAAACACCAGGACCCAGGCAATCCACTGTTTTTTGGCCGTTTCTCTTTTGACAAACCAAACTGGCGCTCTGGTCGAGCCGCCGGCACCCAGCTCATTTTGTTTTTTCCTTCCTTCAGTTTTCAGTCTAGGTCGTGAGTTGACCTAGGGGCGCTTGCCGTCAAAATGTGCTGAGTCTCAGGCACCAACTCAGAGGAGCAGAAAGGCCGCCAAGTCACTTCTTGGCTCGCTGCGGCGATTCTGGGGACGGAAACGCACCGGGCCTGGTTGAAAGTTGCCTCTTGGCATATCTGGTTTGTGGGTCCTTTCGTCCTCGTAGCTTCCAATAGCCTGTTAGACATCTCAGCAAGGCAGTGAACCTCAACGGCGATTTCACCAAAGCCGTCAAGGGAGACCTAGCGGTGGATGTGCCAAAATCTGCGGAGGACCGATGTCATATTGACGAAGTCAGGCCAAAATGGCACGTTGGAGGTTGCTGGACTTTCCATGAAAAGCAAGCTGCCTGTCTTTGCTGGGAGACTTTGTGGGTTGCTGAGCTTGTTGATTGACTTGTCACCTCACATGGGTTGTTTGCGAAAAGGGGCAACTAGCGCCTGCATTCGAGAGTTCACGGAATGGTCATGTGTTTGACTTTGACAGGATCTCTACGATGAGGCCCGCAGCTCGGGTTTGTGCTGCCAAGCTGAACTCTCAGACTCAGGTCTGCCTGACGCCGAACGAGACCCAGGGGTACTTGGTCACGGAGACCAGTATGGCCAGACACAAGTTCAGTGTGGGCGCTGCATGTGCCACTGTGCCTTGGCAACAAGTCATGCCCCGCTTGGACATCCAGCTTGTCGAGCAAGGCGCCCAAATCATACCAAGGACTACACCGGCTCTGCCAAGGTGACCGAGTGTGAGCTTGATCAGTTGCCATACAGGCGCATTGTAGCATTGTAGCGAAGCCACTTCCCAGTTTTCAGTTCTGGACCTGAGGCTTTCTGGCTGTCGTGCACAAAAGTGTTCCACGCCGAAAAAGATGGAAGGCTACGATGTGTCCAAGCCTCAGCAATGCTGCCTTTGTGACTGTGGCAGTTGCATTGGGCTGCCAAGCACAAGGCTCGCCCTGCTTGTGGCTATTTTGGAATGTGAAAGTGTGCATCATTGGATCTTACTGGCTGTTAGGAGAGAAACGGATATGACGCGCCTTGCGTTCGACGTTTCAGCAGATTGTGCCCAGACAGAAATTATTCATGGCTTCTTATACGGCTGGCTGCGTTGCAGGATCCTCAAGCACGAGACTGAATGAGGAAATTATTATGTTCGTTGCCCTAGTTTGGGTTTGGTCACTTGTACTTACCCTTCCCATGTGAATTGCACCCAAATAAATTCCAGATCACATGCCCAGTCGTGCAGCTTTTTGCACCCGCGTAGAGGGAGCTCACTGGGATCCAAGCCAAGCTTCGCACATACCAGCGCTTTGGCCCACGGAAGCAGAACGACCCGATGCTTTCCATGGGGTTGAAATGAAACGCATTCGAGACAGGATGACTTGCAGAATGACACATCTCAACCGGCCGTGTGCCTTGAGAGTTGGTGATCACCGTGCGCTGTGCAGCTCTTTGTGTATCGCATTCTTTACCTTCGATGAACGGCCATGATTGGGCATCTCTGGTTTTCTGAAGTTCAGTGTTCTTTTGAATCACGACACCCAGACATTCAATTGCGTGAGACTTGTTATGACAGCATTCTATTGTTCTAGGAGGTGCTGCAAGGGTGATGGTCTTTGAACATGAGCACCATGAGCGACGAGCATGCGGATCGCATCAGGTGCTCCGGGCTTCTCAGGTTTTGCCAAAGTTACGAAGTGCGCTGGTGATGGCAAGCCCTACTCGGTCGAGGGCTGCATGCAAACCACTACCACTACATCTACCACGACAACTACTACCACAACCACTTCGACGACAACAACTACTTTCACGACCACAACTACTACAACATCAACCAGCACCACAAGTACTAGTACGACAACAATTACTACAACGACCACGACGACAATCACATCTACAACAACAACCACGGTCACAACCACTACCACTACTACTACCACTTTCACCACAACAACAACCACAACGTCAACCACTACAATAACAACAACTACCACGAGTACCACCACAAGCACCACCTCAACATCCACTACAACAACCACGAGTACCGTAACAACTACCACAATCACAATTACGACTACGACAACGACGACCTCGACCACCACCATCGTGTTCTACTGTCGGGATGCCTCTGATGCGGAAAAGACTGGCTATGGCGTTGTTGTGCACACACTCGAGGACAATGCAGCTTGACAGCATGTTGGCATGCCTGGCAAAGCCCATTTCTCATTCAAGCGGGGTGCAGTTTAATGTCCATGAGAGCAAGCCATGCTGCCTTGAGGTCGTTGTCTTCAGCGTGAATGCATGGTGTGCTGATGGCTACTATGGCACTGCCAAAGTCGACGCGGGTGGCTTAGAAATTATGAGTGCCCTCACTGCGGCAACAAGTGTGGCACCTGCTCTTGCAACATCACTACTGGCCAGTAGGGAACACAAAGACACAAACTACAATGCAGTGTTTGTACCAAGTTGCAACAATTTGAAGCCACCGAACTCCTTTCTGACTCCTTCTGAAGCAGGAATTACTGAAAAGATGGATGAAGAGAAAGGAAGGATACAAGAAATAAGATAGGATGGCATACCTTCATTCTCCTGTCCATTAAAGATTAACCGACATGAAGGTGTCATCAGAATCCTTTTGTAGGAGCGCAAGCCTTTTTCATTCCTATAATTGGCTTGACAAGGGAGAATATGATATGTCCCGACTCATTTTGTTTGTGGGTGAGTTGGGGTTGAACGTGCGCTTTGCGCACTGCCTTTGCACTGTGTCGCACACTGGAAAGACATGACTTTCGAGCTGCAAAGTGCCCTGGTTGGACTGCTTCCGTACTGAAAAGCTGCGACTTTCCAGCTGGCGCTGCAAAAGTGTACTTGAAGCGTTGCCTTCATTCTGGCAAATTGCGACTTTCGAGCCGGAGCTGCCGAAAATTAGATGATAACCAACGTTGCAGACGATTGCCTGCCGAATTTGGAAACGGAATCGCTGATAGAGACTTTGACTGTGACGGAGCAAAGCAGCTGAACGGACGAGTGAACTCCTCAGACATGCCTGACCATGGGAGCGAAGTACGCGTCATGTGCTTGAGTTTGCAGAAGCTGAGATCTGCGAGACCGAGAACCACCCGTACAAACTCAGTGGATGCCACAAGATTGAGACTTGTGAGACGCCCGAGACTATGGGATATGCTTTGCCACTTGGAAGCATCATTTGGGACCCCTTCATGTTGCAAAGTCATGCTCTTCGCGGTGATTGGCTAAAGATTACTGGTGAGACTATTTCCGAGCTTGTAGAACAATAAGCAATAATGCATGGCACATATGATTAACGGGGCAGGTTCCCAACAACTAAAGACTGACCGTTTGATGTGTTGCCAATAGGCCACATGCATTTCATGGAGCGTCCTGCTCGCCAAAGGACTGTTGGCAGCCGCAACCTGCACGACTGGAATATGACGGTGGAGTGTGACAAGAATTGGCACGGCCACGCTAAGGCACAACCCTGCAAAGCACATGGCGAGATGCAGCTTGGCGAGACAGTCATGCTGTACCCGCCGCGCTGTGCGGTGCGGTAGTACACAAAACATTTCGGAGGGCCATTTTTTTATTTTTTTTTGGAATTTTTGTTTCAGGGTGGGTGGCTTTTCGGCTTTTTTGCTTTTTGTGGCTTTTACGTGGGTTTTTGTGGCTTTTCATTTCGCATCCTCTGCATTCACAGTTCCTCTCTTTCGCATCCTCTGCATTGCCAGTTCCGCTGGCTTTTTGGCTTTGTGGCTTTTGGCGGCTTTCTGGCTTTGGCTTTTCGCATCCTCTGCTTTCCCAGTTGGTTTTGGCCTTGGCTTCCTGCATCCTCAGCATCGCAAGTTCCTCTCTGGTTCGATTGAAAAGCTGCTTTTTAGATTCTTTGGCTGCCGTTTTACAGGGATTAGTTTGCCCTTGATTGAATCCTCACTTGTACCATGAGGCCTTGCCGCAAAGGAACTGATGACCCGCCCGCTGCTTTATATTTTTTTGGCCCTAATTGAATCATCACTTTTTCAATCATCGTGGGGGGGGCTGCCGCCCCCCCCAACCCCCCCGCGCCTTTCATTGAATCATCACTTTTTCAATCATCATGGGGGGAATTGCCGCCACGTTTTAGGTGTTTTACAGGGATTCGTTTGCCCGTGATTGAATCCTCACTTGTACCATGAGCCCTTGCCGCAGAGGAACTGATCCCCCCCCCCCCGCTACTTTTTTTTATTTTATATTTTTTTGGCCCTAATTGAATCATCACTTTTTCAATCATCGTGGGGGGTGCCGCTATTTTTTGGACTTTTTGCCCCTATTTGAATCATCACTTGTTCGATCATCATGCGACCGCTAATTGTTCGATCATCATGGGGGGGGCTGCCGCCCCCCAACCCCCCGCTATTTTTTAGACTTTTTGCCCCTGATTGAATCATCACTTTTTCGATCTGCAGGGATTAGTTTGCCCGTATTTGAACCCTCACTTGTACCATGAGGCCTTGGCGCAGAGGCACTGATGCCCCCCCCCCCGCTGCTTTTTTTTATTTTTTTGGCCCATTGAATCATCACTTTTTTCAATCATCATCCCCCCCGACTTTTTGCCCCTGATTGAATCATCACTTTTTCGATCATCATGGGGGGGCGGCAGCCCCCCCCAACCCCCCCGCGCCTTTAATTGAATCATCACTTTTTCAATCATCATGGGGGGAATTGCCGCCCCCCCACCCCCGCTACGTTTTAGGTGTTTTACAGGGATTAGTTTGCCCGTGATTGAATCCTCACTTGTACCATGAGGCCTTGCCGCAGAGGAACTGATGACCCCCCCGCTGCTTTTTTATATTTTGGCCCTAATTGAATCATCACTTTTTCAATCATCGTGGGGGGGGCTGCCGCCCCCCCCCAACCCCCCGCTATTTTTTGGACTTTTTGCCCCCTATTTGAATCATCACTTTTTCGATCATCATGCGACCGCTACTTTTTAGATTCTTTGCCCCTAATTGTTCGATCATCATGGGGGGGGCTGCCGCCCCCCCCAACCCCCCCACTATTTTTTAGACTTTTTGCCCCTGATTGAATCATTACTTTTTCGATCATCATGGGGGGGCTGCCGCCCCAACCCCCCCGCGCCTTTAATTGAATCATCGCTTTTTCAATCATCATGGGGCGGGCTGCCGCCCCCCCCAACCCCCCGGCTATTTTTGGACTTTTTGCCCCTAATTGAATAATCACTTTTTCGATCATCATGCGACCGTTGATTCTTTGCCCCTAATTTTTTCTATCATCATGGGGGGGCTGCCGCCCCCCCCAAGGGGCTGCGCCGTTAATTGAATCCTCACTTTTACCATGAGATGCGGGAAGCCAATTTGCTGGTGATGCTGGCGATGTTGGCTGGACATGCGGGGGATGTTGAAAACGATGCTGATGATGTTGACGGACGCTCAAAATACGTACATTTCGCGAGAAAACATGCTGTAAATTACAGCATTTTAGTGGCCAGGACGGAAAAAAAAACAAAAAAAACAAAATAAAACAAAAAGCAATTCCCAAATTAAATCTCGACCCAAACATTTCTTTTCCTCTGGGTCGAGAGAGCGAGTGCAGAGAGCCTTTCGGGTTTGGACAAACACCCCCTCGCCAAGGTTTCAGCTGACGGGCTGCGAGCCAGACAAATGCTTCATTCCCACAGACACCACGGGATATATTGTCAACGAGGATAAGACAGAAATCTACCGCTTCAGTGTGGAGACCAAATGCGCTGATGGCTATACTGGAGATGCGAAAGCAACTGCGTGCGACCTGCACACCGGTGACTACCATTTGTCAGGATGCGAAAAGACCACAACCACTACAACTACCACAACATCGACGACGACATCAACTTCTACGACAACATCAACTACCACCACAACCACTATCACAACAACGAGCACTACCACTACCACCTCGACGATCACCACTACCACCACGACATCAACAACAACCACGACTTCTACAACTACGACCACCACCACCACAAGTACGACCACTACGACGACATCGACCTCAACAACAACTACAACTTCAACTACTACAAGCACAACAACTACAAGCACGTCAACAACAACTGTCACCAGCACCACTACGACTACTACGTCCACCACAACCTCCACTACAACCACATCGACTTCAACAACGACAGCTACGTCAACCTCTACTACAACCACAAGCACAACAACATCGACAACCACCACTTCAACCACAACCTCCACTACCACTACAACCTCGACCACAACATCTACAACTATCACCACAACCTCTACCACCACCACTACAACTTTCACAACCACAACAACCACCACGTCAACAACTACGACGACGTCTACTACCACTATCACCACGACTTCAACAACAACTACCACTACGACCTCCACAACCACCAGCACCACAACCACAAGCACCACCACCACGACCACCACAACCTCAACAAGTACGACAACTACCACGACAACTTCGACCATCACAACTACTACCACCACAAGCACAACAACTACAACCACTACAACTAGTACTTCTACGACAACCACGACCAGCACTACTACCACTGCTTCTGTGCAATTTCAATCAAGATCATTTGATGGTTTTATTTGCCTGCAAGAGTTGGTCTCATGTGTGGATTCTGTTGGAGTTGTGTTCCAGAAGTTTCGCCCATTCATGATTTGCCGCATAGCATGCCATCTAAGGTTGCCGAATGCACAGTGCCATCTGAAACCAAAGGCACGAGGGGGAGGGGGGGAGGGAGTTTGCAGTGCTCTGGGGGCCTGTTTGCGGCTTGCCGCGGCCGATGCAAGTTCAAGCTAGTAAAAGACATCGAAGATAAGTTCGCGAGAAGTGCATCCTTCAGTTGTGACGGGTCTTGATGCCACAGAGCCTAGCTCTGTGCCACTACCCAAGCAAGGTACAGGAGATCTGTGTTTTTTCCCCCAACAGCTGAAAGCTTTGGGGTCTCAGCCCAGATAGGCTCCGGGGTGATCCGGGGCGGCCCTGAGGTAAGGTTTTACGAGGGTTCCACCAGGGTTCCACCAAGTTCTGCGAGGGCTGCGGGGTGGTGCGAGCACTAAAAAGAGCACGCCTCTAGCATTTGCTCGTGGTGAGAGCGATGTTTGGCGTTGCCTAATGCGAGTCCTGCCAGTGAAGTGGCAGAGGTTATAAGCCGAGAGAAGTAAATCAAGGGCTAGTCAGACCGAGCATCATTGAGAAGATGAACCAGCTCGATGCGGCCTGAAGAAAGTTTTGCAAGCAGCGAGAGCGGTCTTACTGAGGGCTTTGATGCTTTCCCCGCTACTGATCATGGCCTTAGGCCCATGCTGAAGGAAATACCGCAACCAAGCAAAAACATATCAGCGACACAGCCTCACTTGCCAGGTAACTCATCACTTAGCTCAAGCCATGCTCCAACTCAAGGGTTCACATCACAGATGTTCTCAACGACCGGTATGCCGAAAGCTTCCCAGCAGGTCCTGGCCCCAAATGAAAAGACAATATGAAGAGGCATTGGTCTCGAATCAAAACGGGTGCTCCCTCGGTTTGCTTGTTTTGTTTCCCTGGGTTGAAAGCAAAGGCATCAGCATGAGGAGGTTTTGTGTCCGCCTCTCCGGGCAGCTGTGCCAGGTTATGTCATCACCACCAACAGCATTTACATATACAATTTCGACGTGACTGCGAAGCATGGGCCTCAGGCATTGAACCATATGCCATGGTGTGCTGCGCCATAATGTTGTGCTAGTTTGCAGTCAGCTGAACTGATGTCCAGAAAGTGCCAGGTGTCATGACAACTACCTGGGCACACCACAAGTAGAGGTCTGCGCCAAGCACGGCGTGCAAGTCTTAGAATGCATGTTAGTCGTGGCTTGCAGTTTGTGTTTATATCCCTGACCAACGCCTCGATGAGGAGCCATACAAGCTGACTGGCTGCAGAATCAAGATGTGCACAGCCCCGAAAGACACAAATGGCTATAGCGTGGAAGAGAAATCACTGGCGATCCACAGCTTTTTCGTCACTGCAAGGCGGGAATTGTTGAGAGATGTGGCCAGCCAAATTCTATCCATGGATGCGGTTTGCCAATCTTAGGGCCGAATCACCCCGAGTCCTGCAGAAGCAAGCGACTCTGATTTCGGCCCTTGCAGGTGCGCAACGGATTGGTTTGGCACGGCAGAGGTGAAGCCATGCACAGAGCCGGATGGCTTGTACGAGCTCGTGGGTTGCAAAGACAAGCAGTTCTGCAACGCCCCAGTGGCTTGACTCAAGAGGGCGCGGCCCAGCCACACGTGACTTGTTTTTTTGGGGGGTAAGATAGTCTGTTCGCTGCCTGAACTGATTCATAGGAGGCCCCAGAAGTTAGCAGAGACCCGAAGCGGATTGAGCATGTTTGCAGGCTGACTCCACTGGGTATGCGGTCAGAGAGACCAACTTGGATCCTCTCAAGTTTGACGTCACAGCCACGTGCACGACGGGCTATATTGGCACGCCTTCTGCCGTTCCCTGCACCGCTGACGTGCAGCCATATTCTCTGAAGGGCTGCAAGCTGGACACGCGCACTTGCAAGGCGCCAGTCTCCACCATAGGCTATTCAGTGGGCGAGCATGACCTGGTGGTTAGTACCTTCAACGTTTCTGCCAAGTGTGCACAGGACTACATTGGTACTGCTACAGTCACCGAGTGCACTGCGGACAAAGGGTTTTATTCCCTTTCAGGTTGTGTGCCAAAGAAGTTCTGTCGCGCTCCGGCAGATACTACTGGCTACAAGGTTGCGGAGTCGCAATTGCTGATCGCCTACTTTGATGTGAAAGCGTCCTGCGCACCTGGCTACCTGGGCACAGCTGCAGTTTCTCCTTGTGGGGAGAATGACAAGCCGTACAT